GAAGAGTTATGTGCAAAAGTGCGTCAAATGTCAGAAGTTTGCCCCCATTATCCGCCAACCTGCTAGAGATATGAACTTGCTGACAAGCCCTTGGCCGTTCTCACAATGGGGGATGGATATTGTCAGACCTCTCCCAAGATCCGCACTAGACAAGAAATTCTTACTGGTGGCAACTGATTACTTCACCAAATGGATCGAAGCTGAGCCCTTGAGCCGTATTCGGGATGTGGAGGCGAAAAAGTTCATGTGGCAGAACGTCATCACCTGATTTGGAATCCCCAGGGCTATTGTTTCTGACAATGGGACTCAATTCAACAATGGTCCATTTAGAGAATTCTGCTCAGAGTACGAAATATGTAATTACTATTCTACGCCAGTCTATCCCTAATGTAATGGACAGGCTGAGGTGTCCAACAAAACAGTATAGCGAGAATCAATAAGAGACTTGAGGCGGCAAAAGGAAAGGGGAATCGAGGAGTTACTTAACGTATTATGGGCGTACAGGACCACGCCGAGGACCTCGATGGGAGAAACCCCATACGCCTTGACATATGGGGTCGAGGTTGTCATCCCCTTGAAGGTTGGGCTCCCAACAATACGGAGTCGAGCCTTCGAATTGGAAAATAATGATCAAATTCTCGCTAGAGATCTCGATTTAGTCGAGGAAAGGAGGTCATCGGCATCCATCAGGTTGGCGAGGTACCAAGGGAAATTGTCACGGCAGCACCGGAAGAAGGTTCGAACGAGAGATTTCCAAGTCGGAGATTTGATACTACGAAAAGTGGTGGGCAATACGCGCGAGTCTACTGATGAAAAATTGGGTCCCAATTAGGAGACCCTTATAAGGTGATCTCTGTGGGGGGCACAGACGCATATCGATTTGATAATATGAACGCTGACGATGTAATCCGACCATAGAAATATCAAATTTAAAGAAATACTACTACTAAATCAGGTTTCAGTCTTCATGGTTACATTAACACGAGTCAGGCGCTCGATCGTTAAGGATACGGCCCCGAGGGGTGTAAGACTTAACCCTTGGAGCAACGCCTTTAAATTACTAACACAAGCCAGGCGCTCGGTCGTTAGGGGTATGACCTCAAGGGGTGTAAGACTTCACCCTTGGAGCAACGCCTTCAAATTGTTAACACGAGCCAGACGCTCGGTCGTTAAGGGTATGGCCCCGAGGGGGTGTAAAACTCCTCCCTTGGAGCAACGCCATCAAATTACTAACATGAGCCAGACGCTCGGTCGTTAGGGGTACGACCCCGAAAGGTGTAAGACTCCACCCCCATATACACTCGGTCCCGAGGGGTCCAAAGACAACAGCAAGTTCGACGAGTCTACTTTTATGAATTCAACGTGAAACCTTGCTACTTTAGAAGGTCCTTATTGACGTAACGTCAATGCTATTTCTTTTAAACACGATTGATGCAGGAAAGAAAAGACACGTGTAGAAAAATGAAGTTCATTGCGATCAAAAAGGGGCTTTGCATCCCCAAGCATATAAACAGTAACTAAATTCTGTACAAAGAAGAGCTACAAAACAAATACGGGACATAAAAATGACAGGCTACCAACTACTAAGGCCCTCGGCTCATTCCTCCCCGGCTCCACTTTTATCGAGACTTCCATGTCGCCTTTGTAGCTCGTCCTTGACCCCCAATATTTCATCTAGCTCGGTATCATGCACCTCAGTAATGATTGGGGGCAGAGGGGGAAGATCATTTGTTGGCTTGGCAGGTGGCAAAGACGGAAGGACAGGAGAAGGTTGGTTAGAATCGTCGTTGAGTGTGATGGGATCGTTCCCAGCTTCAGCCCGACCGGCCCTTCTGCCTTCACGTGGTCACCTAGGTCAGATCGGACTTGTTCGTCCAGGGCTTTGTCATCGGCCTCCATTTGAAGATTGTGTATGGCGAACAAGTCTGAGCCTACCTCGACGTGGCAGGCATGAAGGGCGGCGTCCCAACCTTCTTTAAAGCCTTTTTTTTTGCTTCCTCGAAAACAGGGACCATTTAGTCTTGAGTGGCCGCCCACACCTTCTGACATTTCGATCGCAGCCTTTCCTTCTCCCCTGTCTTCTTTGTTGTCAAGGAGTCCACTTTGGGAGTAAGAGCGTTGATTACAGACTCAGACTCTTGCAGTTTGGCCTCGAAGAAGGACACTCGTGGCTTGTACTCCTCGGCCTTTTTTATCATCGTAACTTCACCCGCCTTGGTCTTTTCTAGCTTGGCATGAACCGTATCTCGGTGGCGGATGAGCTTGGAGATGTGCTTGGTTTGGTCGCTAAGGGTCCTCTCGACCTTAAGGATGTGGTCATCCTTAGCAGCTACGGCTCACTCGGCGTTCTTCGCCTCTTGTTTATATTCCCAAAAACGTTCGATTATGGCCCCCACCTGCTGTCTGGCCTAAAAAAGGAGGAATATTATGGAACAACCAAAATAGTGCAAGGAATACTCGAGAAAGTGTTAAACTTACCACCAGATTATTTTGGATAGTGCTCATCAGAAGCCGATTGTCCGAGTAACCTTTGTACACGGCCATATCGGCATCAAATTAAAGTGTCCCCGCAATGGCAAACGCCACTTCGGGGGACTGGAGGATCGAGTCAGCTTCTAAAACAGGGCGGTCGCTCCTAGTCTCGCCCCGAGGGACCCACTCGCTTGAGACAGACAGGCCCAGGGCCGGGGCGTCATGTCGTCGCTTAACATAACGCTCCTCAGATTGTTCGACGTCCCAGGCATTCCTGTCCCTCAGCCAGTCTCTCGGAGCAGGGACTTGTTGAGATTGGGGCCTTTGCCTAGTCGGCACGGTCGGGTGCCTGGATGGTTACGTATACGGCGGCGACGGTGGCAGTGGCGGCGGTTGCCTCCAAGGAGAACTAGGCAGGGGGATGATGGGGGCAGTGTTGGAAGGCCCGGCCAGCCCAGTGAGCCTGGCTCTCCTTGCCACGACGACGACCTCCATTGTAGCAGCGGTGACTGGTGATGGATTAAACATGTCAGGCGCAAGGGGCTCGGGAGCGTGATGATCAGACTCTTCTTCGAAATCTTCCTCGAATTCTTTCTCTTCCGACGAGGAATGATCTTCCCAAACAGAAGGGTTGAAAGGAGGTAGGATCTGGGAGAATCGGTTGTAAGTCGGCGTGTAGCCGAGGAGAGTATGCGTCGTTCTCGCTCAACTAGGTTCAAGGACCAAACCCTTAGGTGGTTGGCAAACCGAACTTGGGACCTCAACGATTGAGCGGCGTCCCGGCGATATCCTTCTGCAAAAGTAAAGCAAAATCAGTGCATCCCTCGGACCCAAGAATAGCAAAATCAAGAAGTCAGAAAGAAAATACACCTTCATCCCTCGACACTTTGGGACAGTACAATCCGTTATACTTGGGTCCAGTCCCTTTCTCCCAACTTCTGCTGAGCATGATCAAATCGTCTACATACCCCTTGTCCGAGTCGGACATGTGAGTTACCAAATACATTGAGGCGTCTAGAGCCTAGAGGTAATATCGTCCCCCGGTGATTAGCCTCAGGTCGTAGCAGAATAAAATTTCATCTACTCCTAAGTTGGTCCCCAGCCGAGCGTTTAAGGCGACTACGCCCATCACAATCCTAAAGAAGTTAATCCCACATTGAAAGAAAAAAAGCTTTAGTTGCATCAACACTCCCAGCAACAGGGGATGGAGGGGGAAGGTTAACCCTCCCTCCATGATGGCTTTCATCCAGAAAGGCATCATGTCCACATTTTTCATATCCCTCCTATGGTGAGTGGGGTTGAAGGGGAAATCGAAGACAGGCTCACGGATGTGGTACCTAATCCTAAAGACTTGAATATTCTCATCGGTCACTTGGGTTCTCCTCATCTTGTGGGTAGTCCTAGCCCTAACAGACGTCTCCCCGTTGGTTCTACTAGTTTTAGCCATTGGTGGGCACTCAAAGGACGAAATGTAGCAAAAATGAAGAGAGAAAAAGCTCTAGTGAAAGTACTTATAGGAAGGTGGTCTTCAAAGAGATAGCTCGGAGGACGAAGGAAACTCGAAGGAGAACAGAGGAGCACTCGAGGTCTGATTGTTGAAGAGAGGTTGAGGATGCAAAAGTTCTGAGAAGGTATGAAAACCTTCTATTTATATTGTCTCACAGGGAACGAGAATTGAAAAATTTGGTCATCATTAGGGCGTTTGAAAAGGGCGGCACCAGACGTGCAAGTAACCGTCGCTATTAATAAGGCGTGATGAGGGAGCACTTAATCCCTTTACGCCACTTGTCTTGCACTGCGAAAAGGATGGCGACTGGGGGGCAGTTGGCGGGACTCTAGGTGGCTCTACAACCCTCGAGTCGACACATGGAATAATGAACCCATTGGGATGTCCAGAGGGTGCCGAGGAAGTAAACCGAGGTATGGTGACACTGAACAGCTGGGTACGACAGCTGACATCGTATTTAATGCGATGTGACCCTTCATTTATGACGAAATGAGTGAAAGTGACAAGACAAATAGATGCGAGTCTGCCAGCACCTGCCCTCTGGGAGTCTAAGTCTACTGTCATGATGGCTAAGCATTAATGGCTGATGCGCCGAGATGACGTGATCAGCTCCCCCGATGAACTGTTTCCCCCAGAGTATTCAATGCTTAGTTGATGTCGGATGTCGATCTGGGGGATTTGGGTACTCGGGGAGTGGCATGAATGCTCGGTATTTGGCCGAGCATTTACCCAATTTTTCTAGCATTCAATTGGAGGAGACGTGAGTAAAAAACACTCATTGCACGAAGAATGGTGTGTCAGATGTAAAATGTTCAGATGAGACTAGAGATCTTTGACAATTATTGTTAGTTCAGGTATAAATACTCCTCAAAAAAATGGACAAAGGTACTCAAACTTGAATCAGAAAAATAGTTCATTGAGCAAAATCCTTCGAATTTATACTGACTTAAGTTTCGGAGGGGATTAGCCGGGCGCTCACCTGACCCTCTTTTTTTTGAACTTGTTATTTTAAGTTCACCAGTTTAGAGATCGCTTGTTTCATACTATTACAAGAATTATCCTGTGCAATAACAATCCATGGAAATGGGAAGAGCGTTAAAGCCATGGTGGTTGATGAGTGTGACTCGACTATGGGTTGTGATGTTGATCATGCGTACCAGCCACCATGCGCGAATAACATTGTCGACGCCTCAGCAGTAGTTTGGAGTGCTCTGGGTGTGCCCGACAGTGAAGGGGGTGGATGGATATCTTCTGGTCTGAATAAGCTGGGGGTACCATCGCGAGTGATAAATTATTACGAGATGTTTTGAGATATTTGATATATTTTTATCAATACCTTTTGGAATATTTTAAATTGTTTTAAAATATTTTTGGCATTTTTTTGACTAATATTTTAAGAATAATTAGTAATTTTTATTCTATTTCTGAAATATTTTCGTATTAAAATAATCTATTGAAATAAAATTTTGATCATTGCTTATATAGTAGGTTAAAATAAAATTAAATGAATTTTATTTTTAATTAGTGAATATAGACTGGGTGGGTTTAGTAGCTAATGAAGTAGGTATAGATGGATTGAACTTCATAGTTTGAAATAAGATGATTAATTAGGGTGAGAAATGAGATTTAAGGAATGGGTGAATGATCCCATTCAATTTTTTAATACAAAACTTTCCAAGTACTTAAAACGATATTCAAAAATAAAGATATAATAAAATAAATAATTTTGACATATCGGTTAGGGTTCGTTTGGTTAAGAAGAAAATAATGATGACAAGTAAAAACGATAGAAAGTGAAGTGAAAGAAAAAAACATGAAAGAAAAAATATTTTTCATGCATGTATTTAGTTAGATTGAAAAACTTGCAAGAAAGTTTTTAAAAAAATTCATTTTATTGTTTGAAAGAATGGACAATTACAAAAAAAAAATTTAATTGTCTAAATTATCCTTAATTATATTAGATTAGTCAAAAGGAAAAAAAATATGTATTATAATTAAAAGTTAAAATTTTTTAAAATAGTGGCTCGTAACCTAATTTTGAGACAAGTATTAATACGAAGATCTTTAAGTCAAATTATATGGTTAACCAAATTCTTACCACGATTTTTTAAAATTAATAGCTAATAAAATATTTTAAAAAAAATAAAGACAAAATGAGAAGTTAGTTANAATTCTTACCACGATTTTTTTAAGTTAATAGCTAATAAAATATTTTTAAAAAAATAAGGACAAAATGAGAAGTTAGTTATAAATCAAAATTTTATTGCATTTACTTGTGTTTTTAACAAGAAAAAAAAGCTGATTAATTGAAAAAAAATCTAAGTATAAAAAAAAATTATTTTTTATTTCATGCTAATAAAACATATAAAAAATTTTAAAAATTTCTCCTTCTTACATTTTCTAACATAATTTCACTAAACAAATTAACCCATAGGAGTACAATTAGTTGGAGATGTCAAAATCTACGTGTCAAAATATCACATAAACCTTTTACTTTAATTATTTTTTTGAACAAACTTTTAATTTAAATTTGACATCTCCATTTGGAAATACTCTTAACAACCTCGAAGACGGCCCAAATTACGAAATTATCCTTGGATTAGCAATTCCCATTTTTTTTTTAACAAGACCCATTGGGATCCAACCATATAACTGCACTGAATGTCTACTTGTCACACATCTGTGTGAGAGAGAGAGAGAGAGAGAGAGAGGGAGAGGAGTAAACATTGAGTTTAATGGTGACACCACATTATCTTTAATATATGATATCATCATACAAGATTATTACTATAATATGTGAGATCCACGGCCCACCTATTTATTTATTATATTTTTACTAAATATTAACACCACGTGACAGTGACAATAATAACGTGATATCACCATTACTCTCAATATTCTTTCCAGAGAGAGACAGACTCAGCAAGGAAGCATCATCTGTCAGGCATTTGAAATGAAAATATAGGTCTCGGGTTGTAACGTTTTTTTAAGTACTCTCTCTTTTTCTACTTATTTACAGATTTTCACAAACTCACAATATCGAGCAGTATATCACTTACCCGGGAGGAGTCGGATGATGCAATCTCAAATTTATAGGGAAAACAGNCAGAGAGAGAGACTCGGCAAGGAAGCATCATCTGTCAGGCATTTGAAATGAAAATATAGGTCTCGGGTTGTAACGTTTTTTTAAGTACTCTCTCTTTTTCTACTTATTTACAGATTTTCACAAACTCACAATATCGAGCAGTATATCACTTACCCGGGAGGAGTCGGATGATGCAATCTCAAATTTATAGGGAAAACAGACACACACACACACTAATATCACATTCTCAACCAGTCAAAAGTATATTAATAGTACATTTTTCCAACTCTCATACAGGTTTCAAGGCTAGAAATCATGCAGACATGCTGATAGTAGTTCATATTCAAGAACATGTCGGTTTATTTATGCTAAAACTGTTCCCTGGACCTAAGCAATNTATGATGCAATCTCAAATTTATAGGGAAAACAGACACACACACACACACACACACACACACTAATATCACATTCTCAACCAGTCAAAAGTATATTAATAGTACATTTTTCCAACTCTCATACAGGTTTCAAGGCTAGAAATCATGCAGACATGCTGATAGTAGTTCATATTCAAGAACATGTCGGTTTATTTATGCTAAAACTGTTCCNCATTTTTCCAACTCTCATACAGGTTTCAAGGCTAGAAATCATGCAGACATGCTGATAGTAGTTCATATTCAAGAACATGTCGGTTTATTTATGCTAAAACTGTTCCCTGGACCTAAGCAATTCCCAGCAGTTTCTTTATATCCTTCTGCAAATAGAAGAAAAAACAGGAGGCGGATGAGTCCAGCGCCTAACCTATACAAGGCTTCCGAGCTAGCTAAAGCCTAAACAATGTTGAATAATTGAAGTAATAGCATAAATGGTTTTACCTCGACGCCAAGAGGAGAAGTAGTGGGAGCATAGCGATCGACAACATTCCCCTCTTTATCAACCAGGAATTTGGAGAAGTTCCATTTGATACCGTCTCCAAAAATTCCTCCTTTGCTCGACTTCAGGAACTTGTATAATGGAGCAGCATTTGAACCATTGACGTCAATCTAGTTTGTAAACAAACAAATATAAGCTGTTGTCCAGTTACCCTATTAACATGAGAACATGTAAGAGTTTGCTGACTGCATTACAGCAAATATGAAGGTCCTACGACACATTGATGAAGGTTTAACAAATTTGCATGGTTTTGGTGTGAACTTATTTCTATAACTATCATTGAAATTTATGTGTCATTAACATAAATATATGAAAAGCATTCTACTCGACAATCACCCCTCCCCCCCGGTTCTTCTTTTCAAAACCCTACCCTCAGGGACCTGGACCCAAAGCACAAAGTCAAGAAGAACAAGGTCTGTAGTAACAAAGCTGAAAGCTTTACTCGGTCTTCTTAACCAATTAACCAAAAGAATGGATAAGAAGATCTGTTGGCAGTTGGGTGTTTCAACTTTTACAAACATTAGTAGTTCATCGTGAGGCTAGTGATTCATTCCATGTGTTGAAAGGTTTGGATTTGAGTTATTTTCCTAAGATATCATGGTGCGCACGCACACACGCATGCATGAGAACAAAAACAGTTGTCACTATTTTTGCAGCAGAGCATGCATGTCAAAAAATCTCACTTTGACAAAGGAAGCAAGAAGCTTCTCTACAATTCCTACCTTATCAAATATGGGATATTCAGCCTTAAAGCGAGTGCAGGCGAACTGTTGAATCTCTTCATTACTTCCAGGTTCCTGCGAGCCAAATTGATTGCATGGGAATGCCAGAATCTCGAGGCCTGCAATAATTACAAGAATAAATAAAACCATCTAGATGTTAAGAGAGCTTAAATCACACATTTAATTAGGACCACCAAGGTTAGTTTATATAATTGAGGGATCACTCCACACATTGCCCATTGATTTTGGATTAGATGCTCAAACGCTAGAGACCAAAAAAGGAAACTAAGGGGGGAGGCCAGAGGGGGCTTCAGGAGATGCTGCAACAAATGGCAGGCACTTGAAATAGTTGGGAGTTTCCAACCCTCAACTGAATTGCCAAGTCTTGGGACGAAAGGCGAATTATCAGAAAAAAAACATACAACGGAGTCCGGAAAGAGTAATGGCATGCAAAATATGATATGATTGTAACACTATAGAAAGCACAAGCTTTTCTTGCACTTGCAACAGAAGAGTGTTACCCAGAAGAGTAAGTCAGAATCAAACCTTGATCCTTATATTTCTCATATAGCTTTGTCATCTCTGTATNGCACAAGCTTTTCTTGCACTTGCAACAGAAGAGTGTTACCCAGAAGAGTAAGTCATAATCAAACCTTGATCCTTATATTTCTCATATAGCTTTGTCATCTCTGTATAGTTCGAATTGGTGAATCCACTGCATCAGAGAAATATACAATCTCATTGATTGATGATTTATGTCAAAGCAATTGAAACATCGAAATGAAGCTAATCCAATAGCATTTAAATTAATTAAAAATCTATTAACAAAGTTTACCAAAATCAGCCTTTAAATTTCCGGTTGTTTGACTAGGCAAAGGACACCGTCCAATTCCCAGTGGTGATAAACAAAAGAAAAAATTACACTCAAACTCTCAGAGATTTGTTACTAATCACTTAAGACCCTGACATTTGAAATATTACACACAAANATTCCCAGTGGTGATAAACAAAAGAAAAAATTACACTCAAACTCTCAGAGATTTGTTACTAATCACTTAAGACCCTGACATTTGAAATATTACACACAAAACCTCTAAAGTTTGTATACACATAATATTTAGACCTCTGTTGTATTTCCGTTAGTATATTCAGTAGAAAATTGCAACCAAACNGCACAAGCTTTTCTTGCACTTGCAACAGAAGAGTGTTACCCAGAAGAGTAAGTCAGAATCAAACCTTGATCCTTATATTTCTCATATAGCTTTGTCATCTCTGTATAATTCGAATTGGTGAATCCACTGCATCAGAGAAATATACAATCTCATTGATTAATGATTTATGTCAAAGCAATTGAAACATCGAAATGAAGCTAATCCAATAGCATTTAAATTAATTAAAAATCTATTAACAAAGTTTACCAAAATCAGCCTTTAAATTTCCGGTTGTTTGACTAGGCAAAGGACACCGTCCAATTCCCAGTGGTGATAAACAAAAGAAAAAATTACACTCAAACTCTCAGAGATTTGTTACTAATCACTTAAGACCCTGACATTCGAAATATTACACACAAAACCTCTAAAGTTTGTATACACACAACATTTAGACCTCTGTTGTATTTCCGTTAGTATATTCAGTAGAAAATTGCAACCAAACTCCCTAAAATTTATATGTGTGTAGCATTTAGACCTCTCTAAGTATGAAATATTTCACTTAAATCCTTTATTAGTTACAGAACTAACGAAATCTATTAAATGACCAAATTACCCCAATTAAAGATAGAGGATATTGTACCCATTACAGTTTGACTCCTTATTTAATTTTTCAATATTATTCCAATGGATAATATAATTGTATGCAAATATGTGTTAAATAAGTTCTTTGATATATTTATACTGATTACTATTTTTTTCTCAAAAAATTGTGATTTTATTTGGGTTTTATGTCAATAGATAATATAATGAAACATACAAATGTGTTGATTAGGCTTATTTCATATGTTAGTACTTAATGATAGAAAAATTGACCCAAGGTAAAAAGTCTATTTAGCCCAAGATGTTTCAGATATGTCACTCAAATGCAGTTCATACCTTTGAGTTACTAACTGACTTGAGTATCGGAAAGTCGACCCCAGAAACTCCCATTTGATCTCTAACTTATTTTTCAGGTGATCAAAGTCTAATAAATTGATGTGGAGGTCATCTAAATTTTAACATCAACAGTACTAATTATGATTTTTTAAGAAAAAATTGAACTTTTATTTTTAATTTTATTTCAATAAATGACATATAAAACATGAATTTTGGTTGTAAAATTTAAAATATTTGATATTTCCTTCAAATTTTAGGAATTTAGAGGTAAGATATACAAACAGATATTAATGATAGAGGTACAAACCTCAGGGGTTTGTATGTAATATTTTAAATGTCAAGGATTTAGGTAATTAAGTAACAAATTTAAGAGAACCTGGCTGTAAATTTCCCTACACAAAATAATGGAACTGATTTCTTATATCCAAGCAAAGGGATTAAAGAGAGAGAGAGCCACAACTTACCATTGTGATGCAACATTGACAATCAGCAGGACCTTTCCCCGATATATGCTAAGATCCACATCATTCCCTTTGGCATCCTGCAACCACCAAACTTTTAGAAAAGTTTCCAGACCCAAATGCCAATTAGCATATTCTATCAAAGAAGAATGGCATGGATAGTAGGCGAATCTCCCCCACTCCCTTGCAATAAAAAGCATATTAAAGAATTTTGAATAAATTATATACATGGCCTTAAACTATAGCTCTTGTGTCAATTAAACCCCTAAACTTTTTTTTGTGTTAATTAAATCTCTGAACTCTCCAATTGTGTCAAATGCCAATTGAGCTTTTCTGTTTGCGTCCGTTAGAAAATCTAACGGAAAGTGATAAAATGTACCACTCATGTGACATAAATGGTTAGAGACATGACCACCAAACTATAATTCTTGTGTCAATTAAATTCTTGAATATTTTTTTTATCAATTGAGTCCATAACCTCTCTATTGTATCAATTGAGTTAATTTATCTTTTTTGTGTCATATCGTCTTGAGAGTGATACAATCTAGCGGAGGGAAACAGAAAGACTCAATTGACACAATTAAAAAATTCAGGGGCAAAATTCACACAATTAAAAAATTCAGGGACTTAATTGACACAATTATAGTTTAAGGGTCACATGTGTAGTTTACTCAAGAATTTTCCGTTCCTCTTGAAGGGGGGTTTGGCACGAACTCCGATGAAATCGAGACAATCGCCCCATAAATTGTATTTCAAACGAAAATATTTTTTCATTCCACTGAACTAATTCAGTACCAAAAAATTTAAATTTACCAACCCCAAGTTCACAAGCAAATCATCACAACATAATCCATAAATAAAATCATCTATATGTAACCTGTATATTAGAAGAACAACGCTAAGATGAAGACCCAGATGAAGAAGATGTAAGAAGAAACCGAACCTTGACTGTGAACTCGTGGACTGATTTAGGCTGAGCTGATTGACTGGCCATACTGTGACCTGATCGCAAACCCAACAACACAAACCTCTTAGAATTATCACAAGATGATGCAGAACAAAGAAACCCTCTTTTAATTGGCTGAGAAAACAAAGAAATCAATGGAATATAAAGAGAATTAAATTGGGTTTGCTTGGAAATGGTAGATAATTGCCTTGTTAAACGAAGATTTGTCCGAATGAAAACCGTAGCCTAAGAGCAGAGCAGGTGGGAATAAAAATAAACAGAGTAGGTAAAAGCAGAGCATTTGTACGTTAGCTCTTGCGTGTATGTGAGAAATGTGAAGATGTGACTTTACACGTATGTGCTACAAATTTTCTCCACGTGGCATCATATTTTTCTTTTTTAAACGAGAAACTTGTCGGTCACATCACCATTCTCTTGGTTCACCATCGGTCCACTTGGGCACCAAGTTGAACGTGAATCGAATCGTTTAGCCGTACTTAACAATTGAAAAAACGAGAAAGAAATGACTCACTAAATCGAGATTACTATCTAATATTAATTTAGTATAATAAAAAAAACTAATAGAATAAAATCTAATAGCCAAAAAAACAATATTTTTTTTTTGTATACCTTTCCTAATTTTGTTGCTACCACAAATTTTACGCAATTGGTCAAATTATATATACATAGATCATCAAAAGAATTTTGAAAATCGATTTAAACAGGAAGAGTACATCATACTAATGTGTCTTCAATGATCCACATCTAAGGTCAAGTATCGATAAATACATTGAACTATCTGTATGATTGAGAGCCCTCACAATCTAAACACAACGACGTAATTATCAAAGGCTCATCACTTGTGCATCTCAACTAAACCAAATTCTCATTAAATTTTATTTTTTCATTAGAAATGACTCTTTTTCTGTAATACCCTTATCAATACTCTGTAAATATAAAAAAAAAAATTAATGATAATTGAGTATTTGGTTCTATAATAGATTGACCAAGATCACTTGAACCTGATCATAGAGAAAAATCAAATACCTACAATCACCCACGACTCGTAAGTATTAATTAAGGTCATGAGACATTAACAAAATCGAACCCCCACATCTGAATCTTCGGTTTGCCCAGGTCTAACTCACGAGCTAACGGGCGAGTTCCCGTGGCATCATGTCGTCCAGAAGTGTCGGTCTTGAAATTTCGTTGGGCATTGGACGGTTCAGATATCTAGGATTGAGATGGTTGTGTATGGTGATTGGACGGTGATGGTGTGGTTAAGTGCGAACGTGAGGTATGAAATAGAAGACAAACGAATGAGGCTGGGACAAATGACCTGTGGCCCATCAGATCATATCTTGCCCATATTGTGACAATTGGATAGTCCATGTTAGCTCACATCTGGGCCTTTTAAAGGACAATCCCAGTTGTTGGATCAAATAGAACGACAAAAGCCCAATTCACCACCTAACCAGAATAGACCGGACCCCATTATGGCATTATTCTTTTATGTGGGTCCTACCTTAGTCACCAAAAGATCTGGCGCAATCATCTTCATCTTCTTTTTGGAGCTCTGGAATCAGATAAAATCATATAGACAGCGATCGCCTGTACAGTATTTACTCTGTGTGTGTGTGTCCGACAGAGAGAGAGAGAGAGAGTATGAAGCTCAAAGTATACGCTGATCGACTGTCCCAACCATCTCGAGCAGTTCTAATCTTCTGCAAGTAAATCTTTTTTTCCTTCCGATTCTGGTTTTTCAATTTTTCATTCGTTTACTATTGTTTAGTCTGTATATTGTACCTTAAATCCACATGTTTTTGGTATTTGTGAAGGATTAATGGAATAGATTTCGAGGAGTTCAAAGTAGACCTATCCAAACGCCAGCATCTATCCCCTGAATTTAAAGGTGTTTTTTCGAATAACATTTGCACTAAGAATCTGTCCGATTTATCCGGTGATAAGGTTTGAACCTGGCTTGGATTTGGGAGTTTTTTTTTCTTTTTGGGGTTTCATGGGTTTTAGTTTGCTTGGGGGTCTAATGGTTTGATTTTGGAACCATATGGACATTGGGAGAGAGGCTGAATTGAGTTGATGGGGGGAGGTTGGATAGGAATCTGCTATAGAATAAAACATATTATTGAATTTGGTAATTGTAGTTGCTATTATAGGTTTTTTCTTTTCTTGCTTTTGTGAGCTACTGCTAGTTATGGTCTACCTGCTGTGCTGCTTTTACGTGAATTATAGTAATATGGATATCAATTCTTGTTGCTTTGAATTGGCATTTGTGCTTTGAATTGTTCTGTCAATAATTTCTTTGCTTAAAACCTAACATGTAAATTTGATGAATAAAGGACGAATGTGTCGTATTTTTCCTTTACCTGTGGTTCCTTTCAGAAATAAACCCCATGGCACAAGTTCCGGCGATTGTCGATGGAAGATTTAAGCTGTTTGAGAGGTAATTAAAGATTTAAGGGGTTAGTAGCTATCATTTATCAATATTGTTAATGTTTAGAAGTGTTAGTGGGTGTTTGTGTGCAATTTTATTTTTAAATTCTGGTTGTATTCTAAAATTCTAGGTGTCTTTTGATATGATGTGTTATGTATGTAATGTTTCTTCTTTGCTCCTTTTTATTTTGGGTTGATTTGAACTTAATCATTTGACACACATTATCATGGGCTTCTGAATCAGTGTTAGAGGATAAATGACATAATTTGCTGTTAGAGAATGACCAGTAGATGGTCCACTCAGTTAAATGTCAATGCAATTTATTGATCATTGTTGGAGGAATTTGGATTTTTGGATTTGAACATACATGCACTTTTAAGGGTTAGTATATAAAATACCTGAGTTTCATCCTTTGCTACAAGTTATCTTCCTTTGCCTCAGTTTCACTACTGCCACAGATATTCTTATGCAAAGTTAGATGTTGTGGACACCTCTCTTTGACTACCATGGGTTCTAAATTGCTGGTTTTTGCTTACTTTATCACTTTTTTTTAAAAAAAAACTGTGTTCTTTAGTGCATAGGTTCTAGATTTTCAAGGTAACCGACTATATTTGAGATTAAAATATAATGTGTTTGTTTTGCCTCAATATGCTTCCATCCAGTACAATCCTCTCTATTTGAGCAGTCATTTTCAAAGCAGGACGTTTCTTCAAAATCATTTTTCCCCACATAAATTGTATTAATTGAAGTCATACATTGATTTAATCCAAAAAAAGTTCATACATTGATTGGTGGTTCTGATTCTGAATAGCCATCGTTAGTTATGCAACTAAAATTTGGCTTATTATACATTTTCTGATGTTGTATGTGGATACTTGTCACAAATATAAGCTAGAAGACACTACTGCTAGCATTTTCTTTCTCTACGTACTAGTTACTTAACCTGCTTGTAACATGTTGATGATTATCTCTTGACATTGATATGCTTTGCAGTCATGCAATTCTTATCTATCTTGCCTGCGCATTTCCTGGAGTTGCAGATCATTGGTAAGATTAGTTGATTCAATATTGCCACTAGTTTCAATTTAGGTATGGGATGATTATGACTTACTGGCTACAGGTGTATCTGTCAAGATTATGACTTAGGATGTATTTCCTAGGTTGCTGGGAGTTCTTTTGATTGCTATTCATTGACATTCAAGTGACACAAAGACACCTTAAGTTCTAGTGTGAAATGTCAGTCGAAGTCATACGTTTGGACGTGCATTCAAGTTCTCCTTAGAGCTTAAACACCGTCTTTTTGAACAAATGTGGCAAAATGCGGAAGTTAAAATACCAACTGCATAATTTTGTATGGCATCCATTTAAGCTGGTGTAGTGTTTGTCAAAGTAGTATATTTTTTTTCTATGAGTTTTACTATTTTTTTTCTAGGATTATATTCCTCTTTGTTCTTTGTATTTCATTTTCTCTATTAATACTTTTCAACCAATTCATTTATCCATTCTTAAAGGTATCCCGCTGATCTGTTCAGAAGAGCTAAGATTAACTCAGTGTTGGATTGGCATCACTCCAATCTACGCCGTGGTTCAGGTCTGCCATTTACTTTATCAAAGTTGCTGAAATGCAATTAAGTTTGTAACAATTTAGATCAAAATAAAAGAACTACCCATGTTTCAATGGAATCAGGGGGTTTCAGTAATGGAGAAGTTAATTCAACCAAATGATAGTATCATTTGCTGTTCTTTATCACAACCAATTAAACCAATTAGTAGTATATTTTCTTTTCTTTATCACCATTTATTGGTATTGCCATTTTGTTTCCCTTTGTGCCTTTATGATGATCCGTGTATGATTCTCTCTAAGATAATACTCTTCGTTTCAGCTACTTTTGTTCTAAATACTGTACTTGCACCTGCTCTGGGCCTTCAGAAGAATCCTCAAGCTGCTGCTGAAGCTGAGAAAATTCTCTATGCATCCTTTGCAAGGATTGAATCCTTTTGGCTCCAGGGGAAGGGGAGGTTTTTGCTGGGAGGCTTACAACCATCCATTGCAGATCTCAGCCTAGTTTGTGAAATTATGCAACTTGAGGTAAATGGAATGTAGCTTACTGATATTATTAGCACCATTATAAATAGAAAATTGCATCATCTTAGGAGTCAAACAAAAAGATTCAAAGCCGAAGCCCACTGAAAATTCAGAAATAGGGTTTTGTGGATGATGTTCCTATTGGAGTAATATAAACTAGAGAATCTCCTATTAGAACATCATCTTCATCAATACAGTTTTGCCAGAATGACCTAGATCCTTGTGGAAGCGTATTATACATTTACTTGAAGGAAGGTCTAGAATGTCTGGTCAGCATGCCAACTGATTCTCTCTTTACTTTGAGCCAGTTTAGCGTCTACTACTACTAGAATTTAATATCTGCTTAATGTTGATATGGATTGCATGACATGAATGGCTTATGAATCATCGGTATGAACACTGAATGCATTCCAGTTTGTTTGTTTCTTTTCTGAGAGANAATATCTGCTTAATGTTGATATGGATTGCATGACATGAATGGCTTATGAATCATCGGTATGAACACTGAATGCATTCCAGTTTGTTTGTTTCTTTTCTGAGAGAAATATGTCATTCATATTGTTGATTCCATCATAGGATTCACTTTCACGTATCAGTCAGTTACAAATTATGGTTGTGTGGAAAGGAGATTCTTTCCACTGCATTTGTGGTCTGATTTAGAACCCTAACACTTGAATGAAGAAGTTATTCAGGAGGAAATTAATATATCTCGTGAACATTTGTTACTGAGTTCAGGTTTTGGATGAGAAGGATCGCAACCGAATATTAGGCCCACACAAGAAAGTTATGCAGTGGGTTGAGGATACAAAGAATGCAACAAAACCACATTTTGATGAAATGCATGCAGTCCTCTTCAGAGCCAAAGAAAGGTTTCAGAAGCAGCGATTGATGGAAGCAAACAGTGACGGTGAGACCAGCCAAAAAAGCTCATTGCGTTCTAAGATGTGAGCATCTGAATACAAATAAAAAGATCACCAGATACTTGTTTGTCGGGTTTATTGCGTCAATATAGCGACAGCAGATGCAGACAAGGCTACCAAGTGCACTTTGTTAGACCCTTTTGTTGAAAACTTCGTAATAAAACATAGGGTTTGTTTCATAATGTAACATATGCATGCATTCGTGTGGTGTTGTATTCTCGGACATCTTTTGTTTATGAACCACGTACTTTGTTTGCGAGATAGGCAGTGTTCAGCTTGAAGATGTCATTCTGAACCGAGTGCAATTAAGTCCACTCTTCCCAGTAGGGAGATATGCTGCACCTAAAAATAGAATTGTTCTACGCAGGGTCGAAACGGCCAGTTCATTGACCATTTATTGAGCTATTACACTTATTTCAAGGTTCGTCGTTTTGTTTTTACACTCTAATCCTCTTTTATTTTGAGTTTTTGATAATTGACACCCTATAATTTGTAATTTTAATAATTTACACCCTATAATTTGTAGTTTTGATAATTAGTTCCCCAGTAGTTGGTAACTTTTACACACAAAACCCTGAAAATAACAGCAATCAAAACATTATTCCTAATTCACATAATAACCCTAATTTAATTTATTTTGACTAATATAATTTTGTTTAACTAACACAATTGACCTGTTAACTTAATTAAATTATGTATTAATTAAGGTTAATCATTGGGCAAGTGAATCCGTAAGGAGATGTCTAAAATTGTTCTTTTTATGTTCTAAACTAGAAGATTCATTTTGAGATAATGTTCATGTTAATATTTTCCTTATAATGAGTATGAATCTGAAATTATAATTGCTTTCATCATTTAATGGGAAACTTGAATTTATCATGCTTCTGTGTGTGTGTGTGTGTGTGTGTGAAACCCATCAAACTATTTACTTTTTTGGGAGAATAAAGTTAAAGTGTATCACCCATAGATATAAAGTTCATTGATGTGTACAAGTTTGCTGTCCAGGATCTGTTGGGCATGTTAAATATGATCTATTGGGTATNATATAAAGTTCATTGATGTGTACAAGTTTGCTGTCCAGGATCTGTTGGGCATGTTAAATATGATCTATTGGGTATATCAAGTTTTACAAAATCTTTTATCTGAATTTGTGCTGTGTGTGTGTGTGTGTGGGTGTGTGCAAGGTTTTCCAAGATAACTGACATGTATAAGATACAAATTGGGTAAAATTTAACCCAGCAAAGTAAAAGCTCCAGCCCTATTCATTTAACATTCACAACTGTCTGCTATGNTGTGTGGGTGTGTGCAAGGTTTTCCAAGATAACTGACATGTATAAGATACAAATTGTGCAAAATTTAACCCAGCAAAGTAAAAGCTCCAGCCCTATTCATATAACATTCGCAACTGTCTGCTAAGTTAGAAGTAAAAGATGCGTAATATTTGACCTCATCTTCTCTTGTGCCTCACCTTGTTGCCAACAGGTGCTTATCAAGCTTTTCTTTCAACTCCTCTATGCAAACACATCAAATATTTACAACTGATAGACACTCCAAGAAATAAAAAATAAATAAATAAATAACCAGTGTTTTGAGTACCCAATGAAGTGGAGCGCACACTTTAGACCACCAGCNATGCAAACACATCAAATATTTACAACTGATAGACACTCCAAGAAATAAAAAATAAAAAAAAAATAACCAGTGTTTTGAGTACCCAATGAAGTGGAGCACACACTTTAGACCACCAACNCCAGTGTTTTGAGTACCCAATGAAGTGGAGCGCACACTTTAGACCACCAACCAAAAGCTTTAATTTCGAGCTGATTGGTAATGCCAGTTCTAAGTGACCCCTGTTGTGTTATCAATTCATGATTCTAGTGTACATTACTTGTCCACAAACATCAAGTCTCATTACCATCGACTTATTTACCACTCTACGGCAATTTTATAAAAAATTTATTAAAATACGACACTTTTTAACTTATTTATCAAACTACGACATTTTTAAAAAAATAGTGTTATTGACTCCGCTTTTAATAATTGGTTGGGAAAGACTATTCATTGTTTCAGTCATATACAAAAAGAGGTTGTGAAGTCCAATGAATTCAACCATAAAAGCGAGGTTGTCAACCCTTCTTTTTAACAAGTGTTGTATTTCGGTAAATTTATTTTAAGATTGCCATAAAGTGGTAAATAACTCTATTACCATTTGTCACTTTTGTCTTATTCGCTGATGATTTTTCAGCACTTCCATTGTTTGGCCCCAACCCAAAACAGAGCCAAAAATCAAATATTGACGACTTCAAGCTTTTACATCCTAGGTAAAACATGGGCAAGCCAGACCTAGTAATGGCAATGAACCCCTCAAAAGTTTAAGAGAGCACTAAATATGGCTGAAACCAGATGAAATTGATCTAATATTATTAGCTAAACCTTGTAAACAGTGCAGAAACTTTCTCAAGCAGCAAAAGTTCGTTACTGCAGCATAATTTTGAGATATCACCAACAATTGACATATATAGATATAAGAATAGAAGAATATAGACCTTGATTACCACCAATTTTCTATCCTAATCCATAGTTAACAAGGGACTACTAAGGCCAAAAAATTACTAACTGATTTGCATATACAATGTCAGGCAAAAAGCACACAATGTAATAAAGAAGCAAATAAGGTCAAGTTACCTGCTTGGAGACGGCCTTCTCAATAGTTCCCCAAAGGGACCAAACAGGAAGGACAAGGCCGCCTAACATATTGTCCCCCCATAATTGTCTTCCTTGCATGCCCTACAAGTCGAAGCAACCGTAGGCCATCAGAAAAAGTAAGTTAAGAAAGCATCAGCAATGCAGCATGCCTACCCAAATTTAATCAATGTGAAAGACAAATCTTTAGCTAAGACACTTGCTGCAGCTTTCATATAAAATTTTAGCCCACATGGATGTCGATGCCAAAAACAATATCTAGAGATAGGCTTTAGAAAAATCTCATTTCACCTTTGCATTGTTCTGCTAATGAACACCTTAATTCATAGAAGGGAATACAAAAGCCTGCCACCCAATTATAACTTAATTCATAGCAGGGGTAAACTTTGCTATCTTTCACAGTATTTCTCATTCACATTACAACTACCCAATCCTTTGGGACAAATACTGGGAGCACAAATAAGGTAATAGACATGCGCATAAGCATATACATTGACAACAAGAGAGACAAGAGGAGAGGCAAAATAGAGACCCAAAGGGAGAGCTAACCTGCAATTGCCTCTTCATTCCAAATGGGTGTAAAATTCTTGAGGTTTGGGAAAATGAGTGGACACCAACTTATCAATAAAATTAGCACAGGATTCAACATAAATCTCATTAATCTTAAGTTAACAAAGTGGCAGTGAAACTATTACACGCACCAACCTCCAATTCATCAATAAAATTAGCACAGGATTCGACATAAATCTCATTAATCTTAAGTTAACAACGTGGCAGTGAAACTGTTACACGCACCAACCTCCAAGTCATCAGGTTGGTGGACAAAACAAAGGAAGATATCCTCAACCCTACACCAAAGAAACTAATTGGACTAAATTATATATAAACACCGACAAGAAGCAGATTAAATTTTCAATTCCACAAACTAACATTACTTCTCAAGTTTCCCCCCTTTTGACAACAAAATGAACTCTAAAGAATCAACATTCAATTCCAAGGGACACTGACCCATGTACTATGGGGATTATGCAAGGAATTTTGGGTAAGGATCAAGCTGTTACCAACAATTTAATTCTACAAACAATTTTTTAGGAAAACAAACAGAAGTGGACACACTTGAAGTACTTGAGAAAATCTGTGTAAGTAATATATATATGCACACACAGTTGGCCAATCATTTCCGATGGTCTTGGGGTATAGGACTGGATTGTGATGAATCGATGATGTTACCTTTTAGTAGGTTTAGTGTTTTGGAAAGATAGAAAGAGAATGACAATAGCAATTCAGTCATATCTCATCTCTCCTCCTAGGTGAGACCTTTCAGTTGCAAATTGCTATTCTTTGAACCTGCAACTCAAAACCAACCAGCCGTTCCTCACACCAGCATACACAATTGTAGTCATTATTGTTTCTTCAAGTATATTTTAAAAAATTAGAAGTTTATTTGTACTCGTAATAAATGCAAATTAGAGGGCATAGTAGATCCGATGGGTGTCAAACCATATAACACAACTTGATGGATCGTTGGGAGAAACCAAAAGGGTGGTTAGTAATTAAAGAGGAAACAAGGTGAGGAATAAAATGATTTTATTTATAGTGGTTCTTGATTAGCTGACTTTTGAGTTAGAAATGTGATTTAGTAGTTGATAGTGTAGTCTTTACATATTTTGTTAGGGGTTAATAAAGGTAGTCAAAAATTTTTACAACTTGTTGACCTTTAGTAGTAGTATAGATGATTTAAGCTTGAATCATACTATATTTTAACTCACTCAGCTGAACATAACACTTTTTATATCAATTGGTGAGTCTTTGTAGTCTTTATTTGCCCCCAAAATCTTGGCTCCACCCAGAATGCACCTCTGGTTTAATACTTATAGTTTGATGGTTCACTGAAAATTTTAAACCTCACCCTATCTTTTAGCTGGAACAAGAGCTTTTAAATTCCAAACATCTCTAGATACTGTTCTGTCCTGATACAACCTGGTTACTAAAAATATGTGATACTATGCGGTGAGATTGTCATGTTCTCCTGTAATGTATAATTTACTGCCTACTGACTAGCATCTATCCACCTTTACATATATGCATTCACATGCTAGCACATGCAGAAACCAAAACTTTGGTTAGGTTGGAGTTACCATTAGTGTCTTTATTTGTTCTTGGCATCCATGTTGCAAGCACCATTTTCTGGGGACAAAGTTCTGTTGGTGCCAGGAGTGTGATTGCAGAGAAGTGATCTCAGTCAAAATAAGGCAAAACTTTTGTTGAACATCATATTTTTCTTTAAGCATTGGTATCATACTCAAGCGATGAGGAAAATAGCTTTCAATCATAAACCTTATTTACTGTTTATGCACCTCCAATTGTCTTCACTCCCTTGGTATATTATATCATTTTACAGCATATTTTTTATAACTTCTAAGATCAATGTTATTTTTTTACTTCTGCATGTTAGAGATCTGATGTATTCGTCTGCAAGACCCCTAAAGCAATTTATGATTTCTTTTTTTTTTTCCACTGAATATTTTTTCAGGGCATATTGGGGATGTACTTTTAAATTTTGTTTCACACCCTTGATTCCAAAATAATAAGCATTATACATCAGGTTTACGGGCCACGCGAAGTCTACATGGGCCTCTGTATACAATTTCCTCATAATTAGACCTTTTTTTTCTTGCCATTCTTGTATTTAGTTTTAGGCAGAAGGAACCTGTACATACTCAATAATACATGGCCTATACTGCAATGCCAAGAACAAATTTTCAGACCATTGAGCTGAATGAAGCAATCCAGATTCCTCATAAATAGGAGTGTAGGATGCGAAAATCTAATTGGGGGATGATTATTTGTAAGTCCATAGGAAGAGTTGTGTACTAACCTTTCTTTGCCATTAAGAATAGCAATCTGCAGAGCAATACGTTCATATTCAATATAGTCGGTGACTGTATTCACGTTGCACTTGGAAGTCTCTTGCTCTTTCAGTATATTGCAATTTTTTATCAGTAACATTTGATTTCTGAATCTCCCGAAATAAACCTGCATCTTGTAAAGCAACCACACAGCTTAAGTAGGCTACAAGTGTCAACTCCTAGTATAAGGGTTTTGCAGATATGCACCTTATTTGTAGTTAGCTGACATTCGAGACATGTACGTCAAGACAGAGACATGTTTAGGGCAAAGACCAAACTTTGGTTTCAAATATCATTTCATTGGTAATCGAAGAGAACATAAGACCACAAAAAATATAACCAATAAAAAAAAATGACATCCCAAGATTTATATTTTTGCAAGCAGTCATAAAAATGGTTGCATTAGAAGCTATTTTGAATTAGTAAAAAAATGTCAACAGATTATGAATTATACATGATAGAATTAGAATTAAAAATTTATGTCATTTTAGAATTGATTTCAAGAGAGTGCCAAATATTTAACAATGTTGTACATGATTTCAAAGGTTCCCCGGTGGAAACAGGTCTAAACTTAAACTCATCCAAAGACGCACTAAATAAGCAAGGAAAAAGAGAGAAAGTTCCATTCATATGACAAAACGACTGTATAAACAGGACTGCAATATAATCGCGATTACTAACAAATTTACATCCAGATTTTCTGTATAATTTTTCATATGGTGCAGTGGTCTCGCAAAACCTGCCTGGCAAGATCATGTGCCCCACTTTGTTTGTAGATCAGGTGCAGGTTGTAAGCTGCTTCTTGATGAATGTTGCAGTAACCAGGCTTTCGATTTTTTGTGAGATCTGGATGCTCATAAGGAAGCTTGGGAACAGGATAATCTTTTTCAGAAGTAGAAAGTACCTTTTCGTAATATGAAGCTGCAAAAGAAACAAGGCCAACATGATGATATGCCCTGGCTATGTTGTACAAGGCTTCTTGGCTATCTCCGCAAAGCTGCTGATTGTTGTATAGAAATGCCAAGCCTTGTGCCAAACACTGATGCTTGTTCTTTAGTCTTACATCCAGGGCTAAGTTAATTAAAGCAGTGCCTACACAGAGATTGACAAAGGGACTATCTGGCAGAAGCTTATAAGCTTCTAGGTACTCTTTTGCAGCTGCTTGATGTTGGTTGACAACGGTAAACTGATGACCTGAAATAATTATGGGTGGAACACAATTTTTGTGCTCATCTCGTATTCTGTTCAAAAATCTGGAATGCCTAGAGTGATGAATCTCCATCCTCGATATTATATGATAGTAGTAATTCCAGGCAGCCATGTTGTCAGGACGCTGTTGAACAATGTCTCGTACAAAATCGTACGCGTGTTTAGGATCCATCAGTTTCAATGCCACTTGAGCACCTAGGGTCACAAACTCATCCTTCCTTTCACCAGACATTTTGTGGGGAACCAATCTCATAATCAGTTTAATGATATCAAATGCTTCCTGGTATCTTTGTAAAGATGCCAAAGCCTTGCATAAATCTAAAATAAGTTGATGATGCTCTTCATCTTTTAAAAGTTCAGGTAGGGGTGGCTTCCTCAATTCTTGCCGAGGCTCATCATCTGAATCTTCACTTTGCCAATCCAAACTAGCAGCCAACACTTTTGCCTTCATTTGTTCCTTCAAAGCTGACTTCTTTTGAAGCAACTTTCTAGCCCTAGCAGCTTTTGACAAGTCTGATGCACTAGCTGTTGGTCTAAATCCATGGAACACATTATCAGTTTGATGGTCTTCCAACACTTTGGTTCTTTCCAGAAGAACACTTTTTGAGAGCTTCTTCCTTGCTTTAACCTTTTTGTTAGCAGTAATAATAGTCAACGACTGATGAATTAGGGGATGGATTACATCAACAAACTCCTCGAACATCATTTTAGCTCGATAAATGTTGGCAAGCTTGAGCTTAACTTTCTCATTAAGCCACCACATCTTAGATTGATCACGACTTGTGTCCAATGTCAACTCTGCATTTGCTGGAGAAAGCAACAAGATGGCTTCATCTACTTTCCCTTCTTCAAGAAGTAAGGAAGCTAAATTTAAACGAGCATCAACACTGTCCTCAAGTGAGTGCAAAGCTTTATAGAAGAATTTAATTGCCTGATCTTTTTCCTTCAAGAACAGATAACATTGAGCAATTTTCAAGTCCAAAACTCCATTTCCTTGTTCAGAACAACTTTCCACCATCAAAAAGTAATTTAATGCAGATCCATAGTGCCCCAGATGCTTATACGAGTCCGCAACTTGAGTAATCAAATCAGTATGATCATATGCATTCTCCAACTGCAAAGCCCTCAAAACAATCTCTGCCTTGTCCACATTTCCAAGATGAAGGTAGCAGATTCCTGCTTTAGCCGTTAGATAGGGTGGCAATTCCTTCCCAAAATAGTAGACTGACTGTGCATGCTCAATATGTTGAAGAGCTTTGGCATAATCACGATTGTCCATGCATATGGCTGCTAACAAATCAACAATGCTCAAATCAGCTTCAGTTTGGTGATGTTTAAGATAATCCTCCAAAATGCTAACTGAACGGTCTACCTGACGACAATGTTTATACAACTGTGCAGCTGCCTTGTGTGCTTCAATGTTATCAGGGTAGAGCTGAGATATTTGATCATAAGATTTAGCAGCTTTCTCATAAACCCCAAGCTTGATGTAAAGTAATGCACGATCAAATTTAAGCGAAATATCACTGGGATCTGCCATTATTGCTTTAGAAAGGCAGTACATTGCCTGACCAGTGTTTTCTTGCTCTAAGGACCATGAAACAAGCAATTTCCAAAGGGATGAATCTTTTGGCTTCATCTCAGCAGCAATCAAGTAAAAACTCATGGCCTTTTTTCCCTCATCAATTGCATCATACACAAGGCCAAGTGTATGATAGGCATCAGGCAAGTTGGGTGCAAGCCGAACAACCTCATTCAAAACCCTTATGGCCTCTGAATAATGACCCTTTGCATAATGAAGAGTACCCTCACCAAGCATTCGTGTTATTTGCGGGCTAGCTTTATTTTTAGATCCCTTTGGTCTGCCTCTTTTCTTGTTCTTCCTTGATTTTCTCCTATTCCCAAAATTCATGGCTTCCATTATTTCATCTATGTCGGCACCAAAAACATCCCCCTGTCTGGCCTTCTTCAACATTTCTCCACACGAATGATCCCCGTGTACTTTTCGCTTTCGTTCAGCAAGAGATTCATATTCGAGACGTTGAAATCGTTGATAAGGCTGGACTCCAAATGCATCATTTTCTGTATAATCAAAAGGATTCATATCGCCTTCAAATCTCAGAACAAACTCTCCATCATCGCTATTATCATCTCCTTCTTCTCCTTGCTCTTCTTCTCCTTGCTCATCTTTTGTCATCTCAACTTCAAGACCTGTAGCTAAGACAGAGAGTACATCATCTTCGAAGCTACCAGTTTCATTTCCTTCTTCCCCCATTGTCACGTAAAAACTCGAATCCAAACAAATTAAATTCACCTGTACCTGTTGATGAAGACAATGTCACAATGATGCACTTCAATCAATTTTTATGTGTTCGAGAAATAAGCATACCAGTGGGGAGCCAAGATTGTTTCACAGTGGAGGCAACATAAAACTCATTAAATGGTCTAGTTGAACTCAAATTCAATACTTTATCCTTGAATTTTAACAAACAACTTATACGGAGCATAAAAACTAAAATAAATCAAATAAATTTAGCAAAAACAATTTAGAAAACACTACAATCAATCTCAAGTATATTAAACCGAACTGAGATAGAGTAACAACCAATCAATCACAATCAAATTATTTAAGTCTAATCAATGCAACAATTCAAACCAAAGTGTTATCCATTAGAGGCAAATTCCCAACAATATCATCCAAAATAGTAACCCGAACTAGGATTCAAGTAATTTAATCAACATAAATAATTCTATCATGACCAGCTAGTACTTGCCCATGTAACAAAGAAAATTGTCAATTACCACAATTCCCCACAAAGCTACCTTATCATAAATATTCACACCCAAAACCAACCAAAAACATATTATATTCCATCATACATTAATGCAGGATTCAAAAAGAATGGCTCAAACACATTCATACCAACTCTTACCAATTCTTATTTTAGAATAGCTAGAAAAGTACTCACAACCATATCCTCTATGTAAATGTCACTATCATACAAATGTACCAAAAACTCCCCTAAAAAACACCATATATACAAAATACCTCACCCAAAAAAAAAAAAAACTAACAACATTTAAGCAATAAATAAAGTCAATGAAATCTTGCTCACTTATAAGACTCGTGAATTCATCACCACTACCACTAGTCAACCCAATAACACAACATAATTATAAACTCAATCACCAAATTTCCAATTCACCACATGTAACAAAAATACCTTGGGTAAAACCACTACTGATAGAACATAATTAAATTCACTATTTTTAAGTAATAAATAAAATCAATGAAACTTTGCTCATTTATAAACCCAACGATGTTGGGTGACGGGTGGATTGAAAATAAGCAAAAAATTATCAGAAGGTCAAGACCTCATGTGTTTGTGTGTGTGTGTAGCTGGTATAAACAAAAGAAAGGAACTATATGTTGTGACATCAACTTAATCCACCAGCTTAGGATCCTGTCTGAGATCAAGGGTAAGCAATCTATCACTCTTTTTTTTTTTTTTTGAGAAGGGGGAGGGAGAAGGAGGTTTAAACCCTTGACTTTAAGGCTAAACCTTCGTAAATTAAGGAGTACCATTAAACCAAATAACCATTGGTATCACTCTGACCCTCTATGAGATAGTCGATTATATGAGCAATGTTGTTGGCATAACAGGTATCAAAAAGTACTTGCAAGTTCAGTTGCCACTCACCGATATAATATTTTAAAACTACGTCNAATGTTGTTGGCATAACAGGTATCAAAAAGTACTTGCAAGTTCAGTTGCCACTCACCGATATAATATTTTAAAACTACGTCAACTGAATTCACATACAGGATAGAAAAAGGGCATGCCGTGTTCCCTTACTATGCCGTGTTCCCTTACTGAAACATGGCACATGTCTGCAGTTTTGGACGTATNGAAAAAGGGCATGCCGTGTTCCCTTACTATGCCGTGTTCCCTTACTGAAACATGGCACATGTCTGCAGTTTTGGACGTATTAAATTCAAGAGGCGAACAACTCATATACCAAACTAACATATCTATGTCCAATTATTTTATTCCTCAAAAAGAAACCATTAATATTGGGGAGCAAACCTCTGCAGAAACCAAACGATAATCAGTTATTGTGTTATAAACTGGGCTCAAATGTTCCCACCTGTTGGAAATAACATGTTTTTTCGTTGCTGACAAAAAACAATTCTCGGACAATACACTACAAAAAACTGATAACCCAACAAAAACTAAACGATTGAAAAATCAAATCAGCCCTTTTAATGGGACCAAATTAAGTTGTGACATCAACTTAATCCATCAACTTTGAATTTAAGACCTCCAAATCAACGAAATCTTGGTCATGTGTTTGTGTGTGTATCGCTGGTATAAATCCCTCTGGCAATTTTAATACAAAGAAACTCTCATACACCAAAGAAAAATTACGAGAATTACGTTGATGTCATACACCAAAGAAACTCTCATACACTCCTGCAACTCTCATCATATGATTTCAATTTCAGAAAAACAAAAGGAATTAAGACTCACACATAGACTGTCATACATAAAGAGAGAGAGAACCTGGGATGCGTGTGGCTTGTGGCTTCCAAGAGAAGGCGGTGAGAGTCTCTGAGACTCGAAGAGGAGGAGGCGCTAGGGATCAATCGACTGAGAAGAAGAAGAAAAAAGAAGGGAGAGTCTCTGAGACTCGGAGGAGGAGGAGGAGGATGCGCTAGGAATTTTAGGATTTTTGTGCACAAATTAGCATGTATATAATTTTTTTAAAAAAATATTAGACGTGGCTCGAGCCGGGTCGAATAGAAATGCAAAAAAAAAAAAATTGTGACTATTTCAGGTTCTTACCCAAAATTCCTTTCATTAGCTGGTCGATCAATCAGGCTGGATAGTGTCGAATTTGGTCGGGTATAAACAAAATTTGAACACCTCTGTACTTGAAAGATTGAGCGAACAAAATAAAATTTAAGTCGAAATATGTAATTCACCTCACACATACATATTTTAAATGAGAGTGAAAATAGATTAACACTTTGATAAAAAAAAATATAATAAATATATTTTCTATTTTTCTCAAACTTGGATTTTGTTCCCATTTAAATATAAAAATATCAATTAATTAAATTATTTATTTTCATAAATGATCCGTAATAAAAAATAATTAATATCAAAAACAAAATCAATAAATTTATTATCAGGAAAAAAAAATAATAATAAAAAGTAAGTGAACATTGCATACATAAACAAGTTAAAGATCATAAAAAAAATAGTAAAATAATTCAATAATAAAGAATTATAAATGTATACTAATAGTCGATTATATAATATCACAATTTTTATGGACAACATACAGAACAAATAAAAATAACAATGAAACAATAGATTGTATCTCAAAAAGTGCGAGTCAAACAAAAAATAAGAAAGATAATCAGATGTGCATATTTTTTTGGTCAGAATGATAATTTTCATTACTTGTTTGCTAAAAAATGTGTATTTAGTCAAGATGATTTGTATATATTTATAATTTCTATGAATTATACTATTGAATAGTTGTACGCAAATAACATATATATTAAATAACACATGTGTGCTATTCAACATATCTTAGATGCCTAAATTACTAAAAAAACAATTATGTGACACACTACATTGTAACATTGAACATCTTTATTATAACAGTACCTTATAATGATCTACACATAATTTGACAAATTAAAAAAATGCATAAAATATAGAATAACACATATATTACATTTAATCATTGCGTATCATCCAATAATCAATTTGTCTTACTTAATCGATTTTATGAACAAAGACTCGACAGTAAAGGACGAGTAAAGATTATAATTGTTCCGAGATGCACAAACACTTCGATCATTTGGATGGAATGAACCACAGCATGGGCCGCCCTAGACCCTAACCATTCAAATAGTCACTTAAAACCCCCAAAATTTATGACCTCAATTTAATTTTCAGCGTTTAATTTAACTTCATATTATGAGGCTATTTTGAATTGACAAGGTTAAAGGTCCAAAACATTTTCACAAGTCTATTTAAAGTTATATAAAAAGTTATAAAATGTAACAATTTCACAAGTTTATATAAAATCTTATAGAAAATTTTAAAATATAATAATTTTTTTTAAAAAAATATAAAAATAAAGACTTATAGATTTAAAAGTTTCCTTAATTCTTACTACCTTTCTTCAACTCTTTCTCTCCCTCCCACTCTCATTATTATACGATGATTATTTGTTATTATCTTTAACTTTCTTATTGTCGCTTTAAGGCTTCGTTCAATTTATTAATGTGTAATATTTTGAGTTTACAATTGCACCAAATTTATTGTACGATTCTGTCTGATCTCAAAACTCCTAAAAACAAAACATATCGCAATTTTCTATAAAATGTCTAATATTTATTAAAAAAAATATTATATTGCTTTACACCCTAATTTGTGTTAAGCCACCCTGTATGTCGATGCTCCACAAGAGAGAGAGTTTTGCAGCCGAATATAACGAAAAATAATGGAGAGTTTGTAAAAATATTAATTTTTTATAAAATTTTGTTGAGATTCAAAATTTTAAATTAGATCAGATAATAGAATAAATTGGATATTTAATTATTAATGAATGTGAATATGAGTTAAGATTTTAAAATTTGTTTAATAAATGAATTTAGAATTTGATTTTTTTTAATTGAATTGGGATTTGAGTCGACCAAAATTCGATTTATTGTAATTTTGAATAAATTTGTCAATTGTGTCGGGTAAACACGAATTTGTGTCAAAAAACATTCTATCGATACTTGATTCGTTATTAATTCGTATATAATAAATCGTGTTGTATCGAGTTTGTGTCGTGTATAAATCGTATATAATTGGTATATAGATGCATGAGTTGTGTATTTATTTTGATTAATTTTATCTCTACGCAATTTATTTATTAATTCTATTGTGTCTGTGTCCGCCTGATTACGAATTAATAACGAATCAGGTGATCAACCCATGTGCAATTAGTGCACTCTTCCCAGGACGGCACCGTATCTATGCTGCAAATAAGAATTGTGCAATTGCCATTCGGTGTGTGTTCGAACGAGAGAAGTGAAGTGGAATCGAATATTGTGGTTCAAAAATCTCTACAGTAAGTTCCTTGAAACCCTTTCTTAGCTATTGAGCTTCTTCAAGGTTCGTAGTTTTGCTCCTCTTCTTATTGAATGCGTTTGAATCTGAAATATGTTATATTTTCTTCGATCTTGATAGCTTTCTTCATTTACTGGGAGTAAATAGAGAGGATCATGTTATAATTTTCTTGATGAAGCTCGAGTCAACGGTGAAATAATGTGGGGGCGCTCCATGTTGAGTTGAATGTAACACTAAGACGATGCACGTAGGCAGTAAATTCTGAAATAAATTTTAGAATTTGTTTTAAAAAGGTATCATATTGCTTGTGCTATAAGTGAATACTGATATAAAATCTCATGGTGCCTTCTTACATGATAGGTTAGGTTTAATGACTTCAGTCAAATGAGAAATATATGATGAGCTATTGTCTTTGAACATTTGCAAAAGAGTCAATTCGACAAATTTTAATTGGCCCAAGTGTTCTTGAGGAGTATTTCTGAAGGAGTTTAACTGTAACTCTGATGTGTGGATAGCACTCTACCCAAACTTGTTATATTCTAGAACGTCAATTTCAGGAGGTGGCATTCAGTTTACTGGCAGNAGTGTTCTTGAGGAGTATTTCTGAAGGAGTTTAACTGTAACTCTGATGTGTGGATATCACTCTACCCAAACTCGTTATATTCTAGAACGTCAATTTCAGGAGGTGGCATTCAGTTTACTGGCAGAATTGATGCCAAATAACCCCTGGTCCTGAGCAACTGTGTGCTTATGTTCATGTTCCTTGTGAAGGTTTTCCTGATAAGCATATCGCTGGGGTTAATTACCTGTATTATGATTGTTCCGTGAAAATTTTGACCTAGCTTATGTTTTAACTTTTAGCTGGAAGTCAATAACCCTTTTTNGAAGGTTTTCCTGATAAGCATATCGCTGGGGTTAATTACCTGTATTATGATTGTTCAGTGAAAATTTTGACCTAGCTTATGTTTAACTTTTAGCTGGAAGTCAATAACCCTTTGTCATTCACTGATCAGCCTGGCCTTTGCTTTAAGTCAAATCCTTTGTTTTCAACCTTAGATGTATAATGTGTTTGAACTGCTGCCAAATCAAGATCAACTTTTAAATTCTAAACATTTGTAGAAAATGTAAGGTCCTGCTACAACTTAGTTACCAAACCTATGTGGTCTGCCATTAACCCACTCTCATTTGCAGGTTTCTATGGTATAGGCTGAATAGTGATAATTAAGCTATTACGTTTTCCTGTATTGTAATATTCACTGGCTCTAATCCATCCACCTGTACATATATGCGTGCACATGCATAGTTAGATTTGCACAAAAAAACCAAAACTTTGATGGGAAGGAGTTACCATTTGTGTTTCAGTTTGTCCTTGCACCCATTTCGCGAGTACATTCTTCTGGGGCACAAGTTCTGTTAGTGAAAGGATTCTGTGACAGTAGAGAAGTGACGTCGGCTATGGTAAAACTTATTCTTGAGCAGCATATTTCCATTTAAGCCCCGATATCAAACAGAAGAGATGAATCAAATAGTTGTAAAATAAAAAATCTATGCACTTTTTATATGCCTCTATTTTTCTTAACTCATTTCAGTGTATTGTTTTAGAACATACTTTTATTAACTTCTCAGATGAATCCCAATTTTGTTTACTTCTGCATGATATGCTACCATCTGAGTGACTTCTTACGTTTGATCTGTTCCCTGCTGCATAAATTATTTCTTGTTGGTGTATGAAGATGGAAGAGAAAAGCCAAACCACCTGTGAGAAGTATGCTGCTGATATATTCTCCATAAGAGAGGCACAAGTACGCATTAAGTCTTTTGTACACAGAACTCCAGTCCTGTCCTCTGAAACTCTGAATTCTATTGCTGGAAGGAAGCTACTTTTTAAATGTGAATGTTTCCAGAAGGGGTGAGGAGCTTAATGGTGATGCATGACAAGAGTTCAATTTTTTTTCCAGGCGATTGTTTGATATATGACATTCTCACCATTTTCTTAAACCATCTGTGAATCTACACAACTTAAGGCCCTTTTTCTTTCTATGAATTATCAGTGGAGCTTTTAAATTTAGAGGGGCTTGCAATGCTATCTTTTCACTTGATGATGGTCTGGCAGCTCGAGGAGTTGTAACTCATAGCAGGTTTGATCTGATCTTATTGTTGTCTCATGTTTGATTTTCTTCACGTGCGTGTCTGAGTATCCCCTGATCACATCCTTCGAACTTAGTGGTAACCATGCTGCAGCACTCTCTTTGGCTGCGAAACTACGGGGGATCCCGGCTTATATAGTTATACCAAAAAATGCTCCGAAATGCAAAGTTGAAAATGTTAAGCGTTATGGTGGCAATGTTATCTGGAGTGAGGCCAATATGCAGTCTAGGGAGGAAACTGCAGCCAAGGTGGTAAAAGAGACTGGTGCAGTTCTTGTTCATCCATATAATGATGGTCGTATCATAAGGTATCATGATTTATTTCATTTTGTTTTTCTGCATCCATATGGAATCAGATTGTGAATGGCCTAAACGAAGTCATCGACTCTGCACTCATGTTTTCTCTATTCTTAATGTGTCATCCAAGTTTATAATTCTTACTCAAGAGTATCTATAGTTATAGGTAACAACTAACAAGTTGATTAAATCTATCAAATTTGAAAGAGCTCATCATTTTAGATTATGGATCAAGAATACTCTCCTTGGGAAATTGATTTGACTCACATGGCTGAAAATGTTGTTGTTTGTTTATATTCTTGTCGTAAAGTATGTATTACAGTTTAATTTTATCATTTAGGTTTATTCTTTCAGAAATAATTTTTCCTTTCCAGTTCAATAGTTTTAGCAGTGGGGGGTAGAGGGAAGCATAGGTTGATGATTGCTATAAATATTGAAGAAGAAAAAAGAAACGGTGTGAATGGAATAAAAGAAATGAATTATTGTGGATAATCTGGTGATGAAAAATGAATACATGTTCAAAATTTTAAACTGAGATTTATGCTCATAAACTTCAAGATATATTCATGGCCATTGGCTACTGATGTACTTGCCCTCTTTTCATCCAGCATAAGTGCTGGAAGAGGGAGAGAAGGATGTAAGCATAACGCCCTAACAGACATGCACCACATTGTCTGCTTCAACTTCATTGGAAACAGAATGCACTTGTTCCGTCTGTGCTCCCCTTTCCTCTACTGACGATCTAATAATNGGAGAGAAGGATGTAAGCATAACGCCCTAACAGACATGCACCACATTGTCTGCTTCCACTTCATTGGAAACAGAATGCACTTGTTCCGTCTGTGCTCCCCTTTCCTCTACTGACGATCTAATATTTAGTTCCTTTAGGTTGAAGAAAATAATCAGAAAAATTCAATATGGTGCCTGATTGTGAAGGATTATGACAATGATTGCTTGTTTTTGCAGTGGGCAGGGTACCATGGCACTGGAGCTTCTAGAGCAAGCCCCACAAATAGACACTATAATAGTTCCAATAAGTGGTTTGTTTACTAACCTTGAAAGTGTCAATTAATAACCTGTATTCCCATATCATATTCGTTGTCAAAATTTTGATTTTTTCATTTCTTGACCAAAAAAATAAATAAATATAGGAGGGGGGTTGATATCAGGGGTGGCATTGGCTGCCAAGTCCATCAACCCTGCCATTCGAGTTTTGGCTGCTGAACCTATTGGAGCAAATGATGCAGCTCAATCCAAAACAGCTGGTAGGATTATAAATTTGGCGGAGACCAATACCATTGCAGATGGGCTTCGAGCTTTTCTGGGAGATCTCACCTGGTAATGACAATTTCAAATTCTCAAAGAGATGCATCGGAGATGCATTAATTTGTAGTATAACTAATCTTGCCCTTAGGATCTATTTAAGGGGGGTTGACTCTCCCTACTGATTTCTAGGTTATGTGTGAATACCTCAGATTGGTGGTCAGATCTATGCAGGATAGTATAACCTACATGTCCTTTGTCTGGCTTGCATGTTTTCCTGCTGAATTGATCCTGTGGTGTCTTTCTTCTTCGCTTAATTTTCACTTCATGCCAAATTAAGGTACCTAAGATTCGAATTTTAAAAGCAGGCCTATTGTACGAGATTTTGTTGATGATGTCATAACTGTGGATGATAAGGAAATTGTAGAAGCTATGAGACTTTGTTACGAGATTCTGAAGGTTGCGGTAGAGCCTAGTGGAGCCATAGGCCTTGCAGCTGTTCTATCAGATAATTTTAGGAGAAATCCTACTTGGAAGGATTGCAGCCACATAGGAATTGTACTTTCAGGAGGCAATGTCGATCTGGGTGTTCTTTGGGATTCCTTCAACAAATGAAGGTTCAATCATTTCTTGTGCAATATAAACTTGCTTCATTCTTTGCCTTGGCTATGAAGTTTGCTTTACTTACATGTCACCTCAGCATTCACTTTTGAATTAAGCTCAGCATGTAAACATAGCTGTGAAACTATATATCATAATCCACGTCTTTACTCAAGTTTCTGCTTTGTTGTTCCTGGTTCAAAATAAAGTAGCTCATTGAGGAAGTGTATAAAGCAGTCCCAGAGGCAGGGAATGAAACACACTGCAATCTCTATATGATACCAAGAAAAACGCAACAATATCACACACAATACAAAAGAGAACCTAACTCATACGCCATGAGCAAAACAAGTTGATGAAGTGTCAATTAGCTTATACCTCCTCCTNATATGATACCAAGAAAAACGCAACAATATCACACACAATACAAAAGAGAACCTAACACATACGCCATGAGCAAAACAAGTTGATGAAGTGTCAATTAGCTTATACCTCCTCTTCAGACCCTTTTTATCTTCATCATAATCCCCTTCCTCATCAGCTGTTGCATCTTGATATTGCTGGTTCTTGGGGACCAAATCGTTCATCTAGCTCTCTGGTTCTGTAAACTCCATGTCATCCGTCCCTCTCCAGTGTACCAATGCTGNAATTAGCTTATACCTCCTCCTCAGACCCTTTTTATCTTCATCATAATCCCCTTCCTCATCAGCTGTTGCATCTTGATATTGCTGGTTCTTGGGGACCAAATCATTCATCTAGCTCTCTGGTTCTGTAAACTCCATGTCATCCGTCCCTCTCCAGTGTACCAATGCAGGAAAGCCCTCATTCGGAAAATAGTGGGGAACTGCTCACTGACCCTCCTGAACATCTCCTGAATGGATGTTGAGTTCCCAAGCCATGTTCAAACCTGTAAGAGGGATATCACAAACAGTGTACTTCCACATTGTTGGGAATCCACTCAACAAAGAATGACTGAGTTCCTTGTTCTGTAAATTGATCATCTGCTCATCAACCTCGTTAGTGCTCATGATGCTGTCAAATACCGGCCATGTCGAGGACCAGCAACACACATCATGTTTTTGGCGTCTCTCATTTGCTGGGTTAGTTCAGGGACAGTGAGGACACGGTATTGTTGAGGTCCACGGGATGTGAAGGGTGCAAAGCCAACCATGAAGAAGTGAAGCCGCGAGAATGGGATAAGGTTGATGGCAAGCTTGCGAAGGTTGGAGTTGAGCTGACCAGGGAAGCGAAGGCAGCAAGTGACACCACTCATGGTGGTAGATTTGTTCTATCATCATTGACAGAGAGGTCAAAGGTTTCTAAAACACAAGGCGTGGAGGTTTAGAGCAGTGATTTAGTTAAATACAGCATAACCTGGGAATATGCCCCAGAATGAGGTGTGCTATGTCTGGCTTCTAAGTTGTATATACTGTGACAGCTGAAATTTATTTAATCTTTATATTATATTGCATATCAATCCGATTATCACCCACACTACCACATGATGGTAATATACTGAGGTTTTTGCGCCACAGCAGTGAATTATATTAAAAATTATTATATTGTGTTGGGTTCATATGGTGTCAAAATTAGTTCAACTAGTATGTAACTCATTTATAAAGTGAGCCCACCAAATCAATTCAATTATATTCCTAACCCGTTTAAGTTTAAATTTTTCACAATAGCTTGGTATCAGTTTTGTTTTTATATTGGCAAATAAAAGCAAATGTGTGAATTATGGATGTCATTAGCAAATAAACAAAAGAGAAAAAACAACCTACCATTGTGGCCACCAAAATTTCTCTTCAAATTCCACCTCTCGTATTCCCAAAAATCAAGGACTTCCTTTCTGTTGTTTTTTGCTCCCCATGTCTCTCTCTCTTTCCCCCTTCACTCTTTCACCATTTCCCAAGCCTCCTCCCTAGTGTCGACAACATGGTATGTCTCCTATTGCTTTCTTTCCTCATTGGTTGCAGCATTATGAATTATTATCACATTTTTATTAGAGAAATTATCATCAGCATGTTAAGCAAAACCAGCTATCTAAAATGGGGATAAAGATTGTCTAATTCTCATTCTTTACAAATCCAAACCCATTATAGACAAGAGTATTGTGCACTGGATGCGGTTTTTTTCAGAGAGTTTGTAAAAGAGAAATAGAAAATGCATTAGTTATGGAGTTAACATTAATGAGTAAGTGCACAATCCATGTCGTTTGCATCATATTGGCGCCTTTCCCTAATCTTGTGTGGTAAATCTCATGAAGAAAGAACAATCACATATCATGAGAGTTGAAACCCAAAAATTCGAGTTTTTATAAGTTGATAATTAAAATGGTGCCAGAAAAATGTTAATCCAGTCGTACAGCAGGCACTGCAATTAGTTGTTAATTTGATAACTCAATAATCTATGTTTTCCTTTCATTTGCATTCTGTTTCATGCTGCAAAACTTTGTTGTTTAGGCGAATTCTGCTTCTGGAATAGCCGTGAATGATGAATGTAAGCTGAAGTTCTTGGAGCTGAAAGCAAAGAGGAACCACCGATTCATTGTGTTCAAGATTGAGGAAAAGATTCACCAGGTGACAATCGAGAAGCTTGGGCAACCTGAAGAAAGCTACGATGATTTCACCTCCAGCTTGCCTGATAACGAGTGCCGTTATGCTGTCTATGATTTTGATTTCACCACCAATGACAACTGCCAGAAGAGCAAAATTTTTTTCATTGCATGGTAATCTTTATGTTTTTTTTTTCGATCAATCCAACAGTATTGAGTATGAAAACACAGAGAGAGAGACTTTCTTCAATTTCGATTCATTTTTTTTTTCTTCTCAACTTTCTGTCTTCAAATTTTCGTCTGCTGAATGAATGGCAATATGGTATTTGCTTGAAACTGTAAATTGCCTTTGTTTTTTGTGTATAGGTCTCCAGATGCATCAAGGGTGAGGAGTAAGACGCTCTATGCTAGTTCCAAGGATAGATTCGAGAGAGAGCTCGATGGCATTCAGGTCGAACTACAAGCAACAGATCCGAGTGAGATGAGCCTTGACATTGTAAAAGCGCGAGCCTTATGAACTTGGTTTTTTTCTGCTCTATTCACCGGAAAATGCTGCATTCCTGGGGAACCTTTTCTGTAACTTCTATTGACTTGTTTTGAAACAAAACCAAGTGAAATTTAATGCCCTTTAGCAATTCTTATTTGTAACCTTGAAAGGCCTCTTAAGCCTCACACCAGTGGCTAGTCATAGGTCTCACTCAATTCATTATGCATACGTTTTTCGGGTACTTTATAACAATGTTGAAATCTCTCAGCCAGTGGAACACTGTATCACTAGACATCTCTTCTTTCCTCGTTATCACGGTATTGATGTTTCTCGAGTTTCATAGAATTTAGCTGGCAAAAGAGACTCACAGAAAACTGTTGAGCAAAAGACTGGCTAACAGAGATACCTAAATAGCCGTTACAATAGACATAAATCACATAAAACACATAAAAAGAAAGTAACTCCATGGATGACCAGCAATTGTTGATGGCTTGCTCACAATCTGTAAGATCGAGAACTTGTAAAAGTGTACCGATTTTGTTAGGCAAAAAATCTCTGATGTACAAGTCATTAATGGATTAATGTTAAAAATTGTTACGAAGCTAAACAATGAGTATGCATGATTTGTCAATTTTAAATAGCAAAATACTTGAATTTGAGATACCAAAATACCTACCAATATTAATTTACTTATATCTGAACAAGTCTAGATCAAGTATAGTTGTCGTTACTAATTCATAAGGACGTTATTATTATATCTTTCTTCGTGCATGTTGTTTCTTTTTCTTTTTTTTTCAATTTTTTTCATCCATATTTTCACCTATTTTCTTTGTTATTTCTAGTCATTAATTTCAAGTAATTTTAACAGATTTCAATAACTTTGAGGGTTCAATATAAGAAAATTAATCATTTTGGGTGCAAATTAAAAATGTTAAAATTGTTTGAGGTGCAAGTGTGATTTTTCCTATAGTATATATATCGTCGTCCTAGTAGGGTTTAACTCTCTCTCTCTCTCTCTCTCTCTCTCTCTCTCTCTCGGTCGCTCGCTCTTGGCGTGTATGAGCTCAACCATGGAGGTCCCAGTAGCATTCTCGACTCCACCATGTTGGAGCAGCATAGTGAAGCAGCCCCAACCAACCCCCACTCACCACCACCAATCCACGGCAGCCACCGCCGCCGATCGAGTACTCGTGGGGAGCTGCAAATCCGAGAAAGGCATCGCCGTCGCAGTGGTGGACGCCAACGCAATCATTCAGGGTGGAGAGAGGCTCACCCACTCCGCCGACAAGTTCGTTTCAGTCTCCGAAGTCATCAGCGAGATCCGCGACCCAACCTCTCGGCATTCCCTCAATTTCCTCCCCTTCACTGTCGATACCATGGAACCCACCCCTGAAGACCTCAAAAAAGGTCTGTATTTTCCACGTATAAGTCCAACGTACATGCTTGTTCATTCTGTGAAATATTTATTGAGGGATTATCATTGTGTTACTATGTTCCAAAGTTTACCTCGTTTCCGGATCGCTATAATTGCTTTGGGTTAGCAATTTTTAGTGGCAGAGTGACATGAGGTTTGTTAGTAGCTGAATTGAATATTTTTCAGAACTTGATATTGCTCAAGGGTTTGTAATTTTAATCCTTAATTCTTTTGGGTTTTCATTCTGAAGAAGGTGTGGAGTGGAAACAGGTTTGTAAAAGGACAGCATTGTAGAGTGATGTGCCGTTGAAAAATTAAAGGTAGTATTCAGCATACGGTTATAAATCATTTGAGGGA